AAAATAAAATTCATGTAGCAACAAAGAATATCCTGAAAGGAATCCTTTCAAAGTCTGTATTAATTCAGCCTTAATAAACCTTTCAAAAATATCTCTACTTAAAACTTACAAACTATAAACAAAAAAGTTCAAGTTACTAGGTCTATTGATTAAACAAAAATGTGATTTTAGGAAATAAGTTCAAAATAAATCTGCAAAATTTGGGGTGGTTTATGATTTTGGTTTTCCATTTAGAGTAATCCCCCAAGGTCACCAGGAGCCCTATAATTTCTGCCAAAGCATACTACCTTACTCATTTGAAAACAAAATGTGAAAACTTATCTATGTAAAACTGGCCAGCTGACATTTTATTAAAACTCCATCCAAAACTAACATTGTACAGTGTCATTTGTGGAAAATACCACTCAATCAACAGCATGATCTAGAAAGATATCCAATAGCAAAAACAATTCTCAAAATGCTGCTGCTCTAAGAACATAAATTACCATAATCTTTCTGACTACCATCATCTTCTATGCTGTTAAAAATATCACTGTATTTGTTCAGTTTTATAAGGTCTTTTTTTTCCTCTTTTTTCCCCCAACCTGCTCAATAAACAATCTTCTATAAAGATTTGCAAAATCAAAAAACTTAGCCAAAATATCTTAGATACCTAGCCTAAAGCTTTTTTCTTTATGATCACATTATAGATTCACCTATTATTCGATTTTACTTTGTTTAGGCCTATATGGTTGCCTAAATATCACTGTAAAATTGAAACACCATGTGTGGGGTCTCCAATTTAACAAATGTTTTGTTTAGTGAACTAGGGACAGATATGTAAGGACTCTTCATCTATTCTTTTATGGTGAACAACTTTTAAGAGAGGTGAGCAAACAAACTGTGCAAGCAGAATCACAGGACTATTTGAAACAAACTGCCAGATACAGCAACAAAAACTATGACAATTAGGATAGGGTGACTAAGCAAAAGCAGTATATAATCTTTAAAACTTAAAAACCTGAGCCCTGCTATCAGATTTTGCCAAAGGAAACCAAATGAAAAGCTAAAAGATTATGATACAAGATGAAGTTTAAAAATCCCACTCAGCATAAAAGATTCATGCCAATTTTTTCACATATTCATTTCTTAGGTCATTAAATACCATATATTATCAAGTTTAACATCCACCAAATCAAAGAAGCATCTTGGGTTCAGAGATATTAAAAGGAGAAAACATATGTACATCTTCGAATCATTGAGATATAGTAATTGTTTAGGGCCAAGGGAGGAGCTAAGAACTAAAAAGACTATTTCAGAAAAGTTAACCTGGCACATTATTGATTTCTTTCTCACTAGAGATGTTGAAAAATAATACATTAATGTGAAGGTAACTATTTTAAATATTTTTGTTATAGAGTTTGGATTTCCTTGAAACACAGCAGAGGAAAATTCAAATGATCTACAGTACCCTTAAAGTTTTACTTTGTAGAGCTTAACAAGAAAAGTAATATAAATAAATATCGATCGAATCATTACATTGTACACCAGAAACTAATAAAATGTTGTATGTCAAGTATACCCCGATTAAAAAAAAATTTAAAAAAAAAGAATGTAACAGGGTAGAGAAAAGTGACAAGGGGCATAATATAAATTAGAGATAGAGACTACTCTGAAAGTACACACCTTACTAATCTTTTCAAAGTATTGGTTAGTTTCTTTTACGTCAAATAAGTGGCCTTTTATGCTAGCTATATTATAATTAAGGCATGCATTGCACTTCCAGTGACATTCAACACTTATTTAACATCTGCTGATGTTAAATGACTTCCATATATCGAGTTTAAGGTATGACAATACCCTCTTATGGGAACTCCTGACCGAAGGCTGTTATTTATAAAGCCCCAAAACACAATCATTAGATTCATTTCCACATACGCAGTATGGCACAGCAATAAATCAACTAAATTGACAATAATATCTTGAATGGAAATGTTTTTTGAGAATAAAGGCTATAATACACAGATCTTACCTTTTCCCAATTCCAGCTGCCTGTTCTTCGATGAACACAATCTGGGAAAGAGGAATGGCCATGCAGCATTCCTAGGAGGAAACAAAGAGAAAGCACAGTTCATATGATTAGTTAAGAGATCCTGGGTTTATAGCATTTAAAAAAGTGCCAAGTACCTTTAAGATATTTAATAAAAACTAATGTGATTTTATTTCTTAAATAAATCTAAGGAAACATTGAAAGAAAAACAACATCGTGGTGGCATTTTACTTCATGGAAGAAAGTAAAAAAGCAGCTGTAACTACCTTTGCTTTTACAGTAGGTCCATCTTTTAAAAGGCAGTATTTATACAAAACTTTTTACATACAATATATTTACATGTAAAACAAAAAACAGAACTGGTAAAGCAAAATAACTTTAAGGAATATGTTCTTTATAATTTTCTATACTTCACTCACCCACTCACAATAAATTTTTAACAGAAAATACTAATGTAGCTTCCCTTTATTAGTACATTTAATTTTTTAAATTATTATAAATGGCATTTAATAGCTGGTCTAAGGATTTCTAAATCAGCCTCTTTATATGATAATCAAAAAATTATACTAAGATTAATTTATAAACATATGGTTTAAAAACACATACTCCTCCAAAAAAGATTTCTTTCCAAAAGCATTAGACATTAACAGTTATAAGGCACGCATTAACAAGGACAATATCACCATTAAGGGGGCAAAAATTGGTTCCTGAAGAGCAAAAGAAGTCTTAGATTTTGCAATGGTAGTGGCCTTTCAAAGAGCCTTGGTAAAGTATATAGTTTATCTGTGGAATTAAAATTACATGGCAGGGGCAGCAATTATAAAAATAATATATAAGAGATTGTTTATTTTATTGAAATTTATACACACACATTTTCAAGTTAAAGCTCTTTGGAATACTGAAATCATCTCTGTACACATAACTTATTCTCTCTTCCTATAAATGAAAAAACAGAGAGGTTTCTCTTCCTTAGAGTCTGTCCTTCTCAATAGTCTAGGTAAAAGCATGCACTTGCCAGCAGTCCCATTGTCCTTGTTCTCAACAACAACCAGCAGAATGGGTTGTTTTGAGGACGAATGAGTTTTTTTCTAAGGACTCCTGACAACTGATGGAAGAATTGTTCCTGTTAAACAGGGGACATTCAGCCATAGGATCTGACTGGTGTTTAAAACACAGGAGTCAACACGATTCTCTATTCAGTAACTCAGGACTTTTCTGGAGCTGAATGAGGGACAACACTCTAACTCTTCTATCTCTATTCCATTCAGAGAAATTATATGGGACACACTCTGCTGACACTGTAAAAATGAAAATTTGTTTCATCTATTTGTTGAATTTTTTATAGTTCTGTCAGAAAAGAAAAAGAAAAACTTCAGTGATTTAAAACCTAAAACAGGTGTAAAAAACTCTCACGTGATTTTTCTGATCTCTCCAAATTAAGCGGTGTGTACTAAGAAGGAGGGTCCCAGCATCGAATTTTATCTAGAAAGACAAGATAATCACAAAATATTAATAATATATCACTCTGTGTGGTCCAGTTTTTCCTCTTCACAAATGACATAATAATAAGTTAATCATAAATTGACACTTTAGAATTAGGCTTATCACAAATTAAAGAGAAGCAATTTTGTACACTTCATAAGTTCTATGAATGTGTATATATGTATGCATATATATAATAATATATAGACATTACATATATGTGTACATATATATTATATATGTGTACATATATATATTATGTGTGTGTATGTGTTAATAATAGAGGAGTGCTTAAATCAAGTATGATAGATTCATACTATGGATTCCATACAGAGGTTAAAAAGAATAATGAGGTAGAGCTGTTTAGACTATCATGTAACTCTAAGACATCAAGTTAGTGGGGAAAAAAAATCAACTTACAGTATATTATACACGACGATAGGTAGGTAGATAGACAGACAGATAGAGCGACAGAATTTCCATATTCCCCAAACTACATGTGAGATATATACATGTGTGTGTAAGTAGTAGAAAAAGGTCTAAATAGACTACTCGATGGTCTGTTAACAATGATTATCTGAGAAAAAGTGTGAGGAACAGGAAGAAGAGAAGCAAAGCGCCCTTTTTCCAATCTTCACTACTGCTTGAGTTTAACAATGCGATTGAAATCGTGTGTAACATTCACACATATAATTTTTTAAAATAATTTTAAATAGTAAGAAAATCCAGAAATAGACACAAACGCATACAAAAATAAGTGTGAATGGAGATTTAACCAATGGCACTGGGAAAACTGGGTTGCCCAGTAGGAAAAACAAACATTAAGTTGGATTTATACCTAATATACCGCACCAAAATAAATTCTAGATGGATCAAATATCTGAATTAAAATAAAAATTATAAAAGTACTAGAAAAACTCATGAGATAATTTTTTAAATAATCTGAGAGAAGGTCTTTCTAAGAGAAACAGTAAACCCATTAGCATGAGAGGAAACAATTGACAAATTCAACTCCACATACACACATGCACACAAATTCGTCATGGCAAGGGCAAAGACAGACTGCAAAAAATAACTAACATCAGAGACAAAGGGCTAATTTCCATAATATATAAAGTACACTTAAAAACCAATAATAAAATAGCCTATAATCCATTAGAGAAATAGGTAAAGACTATTTACAGAAAGTTCACAGGAAAGGATCTACAAATGGCTCTTAAACCCATTAACAAATACTCAACTTTATCTTAATGATATCCTATTAATGATGAGAAAAAGGCAAATTAAGGGACCATCAAGATTCCCTTTCATCCATGAGACTGGTAGAAGCCTAAGTTTGATAAAACAGTACTGGGGAAATAAGCATTTGCACATATTGCTGAAGGGCCAACCTCTATGGAGGGCAGTGCATTAATACCTATCAAAAATACAAATATACAAATCCTTTGATCTAGTAATTGCACTTCTAGGAATTTATTCCATGGATAAATTCACACCTGAGTACAATGATACACTACTATGTAATCCACTGCTGTTTGCTAAAAGTAAAAGTAGCAATTTAAATGTCTATCAAAAGGGAAGAGTACATCCACACAAAGGACTACTCAGTCCTTAAAAAGAAGGTACTTACTGTATTTGATAAAATCTAAAGAGCCATTGACTGTTAGACTATTCTGATTCCAGAGTTGTTAAAATGTGGGGGAGAATATGCATTTAAAATTGATGATATATGGTAAATTCTCCACATTAAAAGAAAAAAGTAAGAGTCGAACTCGATGCATAGTATATTATAAATTTATATTTTAAAAAGAAAAAATATTTTATACAAATACCTATATGTGACACATACAAATCTCTATGCATGCACAGCTCTAGAATGATGCACTCATGGCCTCTGATGGGGATCTGGGTGACAAAGACAGGGTAGGAAGGAGATTTTTTAACTTTATACTTTTTGTGGGTTTTGAATTTTTATCATGGGATTGTGTCACCTACTGAAAATATAAATGTAACAATGGTTTTTAAAACTATAATACAATCACAAAAAATGCCAGCTAGGTCTTTAGAACTAATACTTTAATCCTCATAATTTGTTATTATGCACTGAAAATTATGTAAATAAGCAAATTTTAGAGTTGGAACCCAAGAGATTAATAAATCAAACCACTTAATTTCTGTTAAAAGCAAGAAATATATTGGAAGTTTCTATTAACTCTAATTACTAGAAAGTAGAAATTGCCTTAAGGTAGGACATGCTTATATCCTTTTGAGGAATAATTCATTATTTCAAAAGTTATATGGCTGGTCCCATTATAAGGCTGCCTTACAACATAAACTCGAAGAAAGCATTTTAGTGAGAGTCTAATTTACTACAAATGATAATCCTTTTGAGTTTAAACTAACGTGGTTAAAATATCTGTCAAGTAAATGACTGACCGATTAGAACATTATCACGGTTCTAATTGTTCTTAAGTAAAAATAACTATAAATGTATGTAGTAGATATTTATATGTTATGATACTCTCATTAATTTAGAAAGAAGTAGGTTTCAAAATTGTATACATAGCATGATTATACATGCACACAGAATATGCCAAAAGTAATTCTTTATTGGTAATAGGATCACTGATTATTTCAACCTTCTTTTGGCCAATATTTAACAACTTTATTATTTGTCTAACAAAAAAAGATAAAGAAATTCGTTATAGGCATATATAACTCTATTTAACTCTAAAATGTATGTTAATTATTTTTGTTAGACATGCAGAAACACTCTTTTGTCAAAAAAGTCTGTGTAATAAAAAATCAACACTTTTGACAAGAGTAAGGTATGACTATATTATAAATATTTTAATATTAGTATTAATATGGTTAATAAGCTTTAACAGTAAGAGACCTACTGAACCATCTAATTTAAATACTGTGAGAGATTATTCAATACCTCAAAGAAAAGACTTTATAAATTCCATTTTTTCCTCTGAATCAGAAGTAAAACATACATACGCCTGGCACTTAATTCAGTTTGGCTTCAAATGTTTTAGTTAATCTTGTGTATGTAAAACCTAATAATGGAGTTTGAGATATTTTTAAAAATCTCTCTTTTGCCAATGAGTAAAATTTCCCTTTTCCAACAGCAAATATCTTATTAATTTGAGAGTACATGATGCTACAGTAGAGCATAAGAGTTCTGATTAAGAAACTACACTTTATCTTACTGAAATCAACACATAAGGATGTGAATTTAAACTGAAGCCAGAGTACATCCTCTTGCAATGTCAACTGACAATGAGCAAACACAAAATGTTGCTGCTGTAAGAGAAGAAATTGTGTCACAGTTCCCTTCAGGGATTCCAAGGGATTATGAGCTAAACCTGATAGACAAGTTTAGGCTAGTTTGCTTCACCACTCAGAGCTAGAATAATTTTAACTTCCTAAAAGTTGACCTAATTTGGCATTCAATGAATAAGTTCTTACCCTGTTTTATTTGTTAACATATTTTTCTGTTATAAAATACACCATTGAAAACCTGGAAAATATTTTAGTCTAAAAAAATAAAATATGCATGTGTATATATGTGGGTACATGTGTGTACATGTGTATAATCTTTAAATAAAATGAGATCACGATATTTATAGTTTTCTAACTTGCTTTTTTCACTTAGCAGCGTATTATTAGCAATTCCTCATGCTGATGAGGGCATGTCATATTAAATTAACCAATCCCTATAGAGGACATTCAGAATGCTTCTAATTTTTCCCTATACATAATAATACATAACATATACAATAATGCTGAGATCAGCATCCTCATTCACTATATGTTTATGCATCTCTATTTTCCAAGGGTAAATTCCTAAAGGTGAAATAGCTAGATGAAAGAAATATTTTCTAAATCTTCTAGTATATGCTGTCAACGTGCCACTTTATATGCTAATCTTCTTACATTATTTTTAAATTAGCTGAGGCTATAGTAGCTTCTGTGAATTGAAATAAACGACCTGTCTACACCACTTATGAAAATAACACATGATCCAGTCATAATGGGCCTGTGAAAACCGTGCCTGTATAAACAAGTAGGCACAGATTTATTCACAAGAGGCAGTTGGTTGTGGGAAGAGAGCAGTTCATTCTAGCTCCACCAATTACTGATGTGTGACCTTAGACAGGTCACAATTTTCTCAACTTTCAGCTGAAGTTCTCAGTGTCCTCATCTCTGGGAAGATTAACTGTATTAAATATTATATAGTCTGGCACTGGAGTCTGCTGTATTTTTGAAGCGTGGCATCATGGTGAACAAAGCAGAGATTTTGGGAGTTTGATCAATAGAGATTTAACTTCTGTCTCTCCTGATAACTGTGGACCTTAGGCAAGTCACTTTCTGAAAGTTTATTTTCTCATTCAAGAAAACACCTCATACGCTCACAGAGAGAGTTAAAGAGGTTGTTTGTATATAAAGTTCCTGGCACATAGTAGGTGCTCTAATTGTTCAGGTTTTTTTTTTAATGTATTTCATATCGACAATGAGTGAGAAGATACAAGGATGAGTAAGGCACACTTCCCGCCCTCCAAGAGTGTCCAACTGGTCTATTAGACAGCCTTGTGCACGCCTACCCAAGAAACGTGTCGGGATGCAGAGCTGGGAAGGCTAAGCAGTCTAGACTGCAGTGCCTAGACCAAGGGGGCAATTGAGAGATTCTGAAAGGGAATTTGATCAGATCTGGAGGCTGATGTGCAGCTTCCTAGAGTCTTCAGACTACGTGAGGTCTGGGAGCCTTCCAGCAGATGGAGGAAGCCAGGACACAGGACTTTCCCCCAGGAATCAGTCTGGCCCGTGGTCATACCAAGAACAGCTCAGCAAATGACAGTAGATTCCGCCCAGGGACCACAGTGGTGGGTAGACTTGTCTTAAAGCTCTGCTTCAATTTCAAGACATCTACACCCCTCCTTCACCAACCCTGCATCTAGAACTGTTAAGAATTCTTGACTAGATCAAAGGGTCTCAACTAAGTTTTTCTTAATCCTCTGATATCTATATCTACTTATCTGTTAAAATAAGGAGCAAAAATTCAAAGAAAAAAAAAACAGAATTTGCTGGTTTGACAATGGTTTTTCGTATACAAGTACTAATAGTTTTAATTTTATATTGTTTTAAATATATCACAATTATGTGTCAGCCAAGGTGTTCCTAATTTGCATATGGGAATTACACAGAATAGAGTGTGGTGCTCTGCAAAATACATGACTTCCAGGAAGGAGTGGCTTTAAAGGAGTCTCTGAAGACCAATCTACCACTGCCAGCGTTCAGTTCAGAGAGTTGGGGCTTCATCATACCCGCTGTGGGAGGGGAGGTTGATCATGCTTCCCATTTAAGACAGTCCTAAGGGGTAACCTAGGTTTATAAAACAAAAACATTTAGCTGTCACTCCAACCAAAAGAGAGAAACTCAATCTGAGAACAAGTTAATAAAACTGCGTGAGGCAGTAAAGGGTGTAAGTACAAAATAATTTAAGAAAAAGACCTTGGCTCAATAACGGCAACACTACACGGAAAATGCCCTACGGGAGGGAGAGCACCTGGGTCAGCGGTGCCTCCTGATCGCAGTGTAACCCCTGCCCTCCATTTCCCAGGCGGAAGGAAGCCGCAAGCTTCTGAAAGCACCGAGCAGGGAAAGCCATGAGTCAAGGAACCTATGCAAAGGTAAAAAAAAGTTTCATTAACAGAACAAGGATGGAGAAATAGCAAGTGAAACTTCTGGAAACTAAAAATGGATTTCTAATTTTTTTTCTATTTCCAGCTTAAACATTTCATTCAGGGCAGGATGACTGCAGTTTGATTGAAGTCTCCACAGATTGTTTAATTATAGTTAATATTTCTCCTCTCATTTTGCAAATGTATCTAAATTTTATGCTTGGATTACAAGGCACGGCCTACTACATGAGTTTACAAAACAAACGCTCAAAACTCCTTTCTAAAGTAATTAAAAAAAAACAAAAACAAAAAAAACCCTTCAGCATAGGCGTTCCAAAGAGACACTGACACCTCCTCAGAAGTCCTCTCATGGCAATCTGTTCGCGGCTCTGGCCAGGACCCAGAGCCCGAGGTCCGCCGGTGGCGGACCGTGAGCTCAGCGGGCTAACACAGGCGGGGCTGGCGGGCCCGCACCACGCCGAGGTCGGCGTCCGAGGGGCCCTGAGACCGCGCGAAGGGGAGGACCGTGGTCATCGCCGCCCTGAGCGCGTGCGGCAACGGCCCCGGCCCGCGCAGGCTGTGCCATTCTGGGGAAGATTCCG